CCATCTTGTGCTTACTCTCGGTATCGTGTTCATAATGATCATGTCCCCCGCTGTTTTCTCTCGCCTCTAGTGTTGCGAGAGGCTTCCGTTATCTTGTCCTCGTAGCTAGTATTTGCTAATTTCCCGTATATTGCTGATGTTATCCTGTTTATATATGCTTCTGGTGTTAACGCTGGAATTGTATCCGCTCCCAAATCTTATTCTCTTCTGATTTCTGTAGTTGCCTTCCCATTATGATGTAGATTGAGTTCTTGCACATTCCTCACCTGTTCTTATCATCACTGCCTTACACTTGTTGCGGTTGAATTCTAAAAGGCATTTGTCTGCCCACTCCTGGAAATTTCCTGTAATTCGCTGTAGTTCACATTAGTATTTATACTCCTCATTAGTTTTGTGTTATCTACAAACATTGATATACATGAGCTCACTCTCGGTCATGCTTATAGTTTAGAAACAGCAAATGTCCCAGGATCCAGCCATAAGGATCCTCACTTGCCACATCCCCATCGCTCGATACCTCTACTAACAAGAGCCGCTTATTATTTTAAGAGACGGCATTATCATGGCTTGAGCGTCTACACCAGCATCAGCGGTGCTTCATACATTAATTCAGGATGTGAGCTTCCATTTGATTGGTGATTAGCGAGAGCGTATTCGGCCGATAGCTCCTACCCAATTGGCGCTTCCTGGGAGGTGAGTAACTTCCATGCCATTGGTGCTCCAGAGGGGCAGTTCTGGCAGCGACCAATGAGGTGCTTGTTACCAGGGGCGGGGAGAGGGACGAGCCTCCAGTGCAGTTAGGACTGTCTACATATATACGCTCAGCTGTTATACATGATGGCCTTGTTCGGCGCCACCAGTTGCAACATTTTTATTAGTCTTGACACAGTACATTCCACTCGGCGAGTTGGTTATTTTAAGTACCACATTCTGCAGCCTTTAACCGAAGGAGACTACCTTTTCCTTCCAGTTTTCAGTCTTTCATGACCCACGAGTACTTACTGCCTCTTCTAAGATTAGGTAGAAATGCATGCGTGTATCGTGTTAGTAAGTCCCGTAGGAAGAGCGGGGCTTGCCAAGGACGAGGCTGTATACATTGTGGACACTCTTCCAATGCTCCTTGCCTTGGTTGTACTGATCGAGCGACGCAGCTCATGCATCTACATATTAAATTCTCTCACCTTGAGATATTAGCTGCCGTCTCACGCACCACTGACGACACCGCCTGCACCGGCAGGAACCAACCTGGCAGAAATAGCCTAAGCTACTCCATCCCTTTGAGATGTATTTTATTGTCTCAATAAACGTACTTGAACCTGACTTCATGTACCCATGTGTTCATTACACTGACCAAGTATTTCTCGAGACTATTAATAAAAGCCAAGCAAGTTATAACGTCTTCTTAAAGAAGACTAGATAAGGGTACCCGACTGTGCCCAGGTCTCTCTTTTCTCCTCTCCCACAATCTCTCCATCTTATCTCGTTTTTTTTATCCCACCATTCTTCCCCTCTGCACTTTTCTCCTCCAACATTTCCCTCTCTTCTCCAATCTTCCCATTTTCTCGCCACTCGCACACTTTTCCACTTTTCTCTCTCCCCTAACACCCCAGCTCCTTTCCCCTTTCTTCTCCTTCAGAAAATATAATACCAGCATTATGAAATGCTAAAAAAAAAACACTAGAAAAATTTGGTGAAACACATCTCTTTTTTTCAGACTGTGAAAATGATGGGGGGCGGGGGTATAGAGGCGAATATTTCGTAAAGAGTGGCATTAGCATGACACTCAAATCCAGCTCTTCCCTATGTCATCTTGGAAAGTTGGGAGAGGCTAGCCCCAAGCATCTATCCTAGTACTATAGACAAATTTTCTATGTCATATTTGTATATATAGATGATAGATGAAAACAAGTGTAGAAAGGTGGTTTGTGTTTTGTGGTGTAGGGGGGATAGTGTGTACTCGCCTAATTATGCATTTGGTTGACCTTCGGATAGTTTTTCCCTCTGAACTGTCAGTCAACTGGTGTATAGTTTCCCAAGCCTATTGGACTCTATCATATCTAAATTTGAAACTGTATGGAGTCTACCTCCACCACCTCACTTCTTAGTGCATTCCATTTTTTCACTACTTTGTATGACTTTTTTTTATAAACTCTTGTCTCCTTGTCCACCTGTGTTAGTCTATCTACCTTATCAATTTCCCTGAGAATTTTACGTGTAGTAATCATGTTTCTCTTAACTCTTCTGTCCTCCAGTGATGTAAATTATAATTCCTGTAGCCTTTCCTCGTAACCCATACCTCTCGGTATGGTAATAATAATTTATATTCTGGGACTAGTCTGGTGGCATTTTCTCTAACCTAGACTTGTGCTTGACTAGATATAGACTCCTCACTGGGGCTTCATACTCCAGAATTGGTCTGGCATATGCGATACACATGGTTCTAAATTATTCCTTTGTTACACGAATTTCTAAAAGCAGTTCTTACATTGCCTGACCTAGTATATGGCACTGATAATATCCTTTTGATGTGGGCTCCAGGAGAAAGGTTTGTGTGATACCAACCCCCCAGACCTTTCTACTAAGGTCTTGAAGGATTTCATGGTCCATTTGGTACCTAGTTTCATTACTGTGCATTTACTTGATTTAAACTGCAGTAGCCATTTGTTTTTTTTACTATTCTCTTAGCTTGTCTAGGTCCTCTTGTAACCTCTTCCTATCTTAATCCACCTCATAATTTTTGCATCATCCCACAGGGTTAAAGGACCTATCCTATTTCTCATATATGTAAATAAACATCAAGAGGAATGAGTCTATTCCCTCTAGATGATCATTTACATAAATGAAAAGGTCCTTAAACCTTGTGGGACTGGTGGTGACATCTTGCCATTCTGAGGTCTCCCTCCTCATGGTAACTCCCTGTCTTCTGTTGCTTAGGTATTATTTTATCTACTAGAGCACCTTCCCTGTCACTCCTGCCGGGTCCATAGAATTACCCAAATCGGCCCAAAACTACACAAATCGTCCTAGCATTACGTAAGTAATGAAGAAATATGGTATATTTACTTACTATAATGTTGGTGCTACACGTAGAACATGATCAAACCTATTTTTACTCTGAAATAATCTAATTTCATAACGAAATGAGACGTAAATATGAGAGAGGTGACGCCATAGGAAGTCGACGGTCCAAGCGACAATTATGTGGAGCGACTTATCCAAGATATATGGTCGCCTGGAGAGTGTTTGCTGCCATATCAGATTCAGATTCAGATTCAGATGTTTATTCAGATAAGGTATATACATACAAGTGATGTTACATTAATGGATTGATATATAGATAGAGCTAGTACATACAATGCCTAAAGCCACTATTACGCAATGCGTTTCGGGCAAGCCATATCAGCCTCCTGTACACAGTGATCCAGTCGTCGTATTTCATGGCTCAAATTGTCTCAAATTTAATTGGTACTATTAACAAGTAGAATGTGTATTTATAATAATATTTTTCATAAACAGCCACAAAATATTTAATATTTATTAAAAAAAAGTGTCTGGAAGTTAAATCAATTCCACATGACAATAAATTTGTTAGGATGAGTATGGGATGCACAATAAATTACGGGTCACAGGATGTGTATGGGTTGCACAAACTACTGGTAACAAGATGAGTATGGGGTGCACAATAAATTACCGCACAGAGGATGAGTATAGGGTGCACAAACTGGTTGGGTACATTTCCTTTCACCTAATGCGACTATTCATGTGTCCGGACACCGGCGATTGTGTGGTATTGGCTATTTATTTAACCATAACTTTGCATTCATTTAATAATTATATTAAGATATGTTTTCCTTGAAATGTAGTTACATTATCGTCTACATGTCTTTATTCTGACATAAAGACCTATGGCGTTACTTTGCATATATGCAAAGTAATTATAAAATTGATTGGCTTGTGTGGAGGCCTTCACACTCCCTGAGCGAGCCATCAAGTAACTATAAAAAGGCATATATCTTCACTTTCACTTCAGTTATATTTATGCCAAAGTATTAACATGCAGCTTATATTTATGTCTTTATGATGACATAGAAAACTTCGTTTATTACAATATCTAGATTAAATTAACATTGATCTTTGGAAGGTCATAGTTCCTATATCGGTAAGGAGAGCGTCGGCCATGAAGCCTTGTTTAAAGTATGAATATTTTTCCTCTCTAATAAGGTATAATCTCTGTGATGGATTCACAAAAACTATTTTATATCTGCCTTTCTGATAACATATACAAATATAATCTTTATTTGTGAATATTTGTTAAATAAGCAATATATCAGAGGGCGTGTAGGGTTCGGTGTTCAATGAACGAAAAGGACTGGATCACTGTGTACAGGAGGCTGATATGGCAGCAAACACTCTCCAGGTGACCATATATCTTTTATAAGTCGCTCCACACAATTGTCGCTTGGACCGTCGACTTCCTATGGCGTCACCTCTCACATATTTACGTCTCATTTCGTTATGAAATTAGATTATTTCAGAGTAAAAATAGGTTTGATCATGTTCTACGTGTAGCACCAACATTATAGTAAGTAAATATACCATATTTCTTCATTACTTACGTAATGCTAGGACGATTTGTGTAGTTTTGGGCCGATTTGGGCTGATTTGGGTAATTCTATGGACCGCTCCTGCCTGCTTCTCTAACATGTGTACTAATTTCTTATGAGGTACTGAATAGAAGGTCTTCTGACTGCAGTCTGCCCATTCTTTTCTGGTCTAATTTTTGTCACTTATTAATGATACCCCACAAACCACTAGTATAAATTAACTGTATCACATAGCATTTGTTAGAACATGTGAAATGTTTATTTTTATATTTTTCTAATTACAGTTCCTTGTATTGGAAAAAGTAGTAACTGCTTCATGAATAAATTAGTACTGTATTTAAGATAATGGCTAACTTTTGAAGAATATTCATATGAAGGATAAAAAAAATGTATGCGTATATTTATGAAAAATATCCTTTAATCACACCCTCATTCTACATTTAGTGCACACAACATGGTGCAAAAATATGGGATAATCAGTTATCACAAATAGAATGGTCAGGTTATTAGAGCTCAAGTTCAAGATTTAGTGATCCTCTTGTATCACCAATAGCATGTTGGTTCCCAGTTCCATACAACCTCTTTAATGAAAGCAACCCAAGGAGAATTTTTTTTTTTGTTTTAATTTGTTTTGACTCTGTACATACAGTACTTGTAACTAGAGAGTATTCTATATGAAATTAGAAACGAATATAATTTGTCCTCAAACTTTTCTTGCATAATTAACTCATGGTTGAACAGAGTTCTGATGATGATACAGAGAAACATCAAGTTGAGCAGACGCTTTATGTAGGATAACATTTCACATGAAAGGGCTTTATCAAGTCTATAGGGGATACACAAGGATTGCTGCTTCTAAAGGGAAAATGGTGTGAAATAGTTTTAATCCTTTGTAGCCAAGGTTATGAAGGTGATGGATTAAATACTGTAGATCACAATACATATAGTTTTCTAGTAGCAATTTAGAATATGGGGTTGCAATACTGAATTTTCCTTTCTTTCTTTTATTTGATTGTAATACTGTATAGTATTTGATAGCTCAAACTATCAGACTTTCCTACATAGTTTTTTTTTTTAATTTCAGGCTAAGTATCCTAAAGTTCACGAGGCGTTACTCCTGGTTTTCCTGTGTGACGATGTAGAATCTGCAGCCATCAAACGCCAAAATACCATTAAACTGAACCAAAGAAAATCATTATAGCAACCTAACTTAAATTACTACTTGAAAAATGTGATATATTCTCTCCCTCATCTTAATGACATTGGCTTGCCTTCATTTTCCCTTTATATCACAAGCCTGTGTATCTCTGAATTATGTAACCTTTACAAGAGAAATGCCACTTTCAAGATAGTCTTGTTTCAACTTGGAGTTTCTTTACATAGGTAATCAATGTGTGAATCAGTGGTAGAGTAATATAATTTAATACAGTAGTTGTTTTTCAAGAAGAGTATTACATAAAAATTACATACTCCTGAAGGTCAGTACTGCATACATACACTTTGTACAAGTATTTATTTATTGTCCCTTTTTATCACAGAATATTCATAAGTTTTTTATGCAAAAGCTTGCTTAGTTAATTGAGCAGAAGTGATATTAAACAATACAGTCATAGGACTCCATACCTAAGGCTTGTATATCATGCATAATGTTCATGATACTTTTGAAGCTGCCTTACATGGTCAACAGGTCTGTTGCAGCTTCCTCTATTGTAATGTTCTTATTCTGAGTAGAACTTTGCCTACTATGTTATACAGTTAGAGTAAAATTTATGCATATCCCTAATGTAGAGATACATTTTAGTTATTCATCTGCCAAATTATAGTACTATATCACTACTGCTCTGTATTACTACTATTGTATTTGAGGAGGATTTAAGTACAATAGTGTATAGTCACTAACACTTTTTTGAATTACACTAAAAAGCATAATTTTGAATATATGAAGATAATCATTGACAGGAAATCATCTTTAAACTATATGGTACAGTATAAAAAACCCGTCAAGTAAGAGTGGAATTTTCATATTTGTAAAATGTAAATATGGCCCCCAGGAACCCTTCTTCCCATTTTAATATTGAGCTGCACATCACTCGCACCACAGATATAGTCAACAAGTGGGAAAAACGTGCAGATAAAAGTATGGTCAATACAATGTTGATATATAACTTGTATATACAGTAAGTTATAATAATGTGTAGTTGTTAATCTGATTGTTATTGTAAAAAAATAATAGTAGTTGGAGGACCAGTCATCTGTTTCACTGATAGTTATTAATAATAATAATAATTATTATTATTATCAATCATATTATTATTATATTATTTGATGCTATTTAATGATAGTAAATATGTAAAATCAGCATTAAATTTGGTTAATACTTTTCTATATTAGCCTATGTATCTAAATGATCTGAGTTTCCCTAACAAGGCAATCATGTTCAGTATTTTAAATTAACATCATACCGGTAATTAATGTTCCTGTAATTTCAGGTAATGTATATTGTGCACTACATGAGGCCAATGACTGGTCAGATTTAAATAATTAACAGGTCTTGGTGTGTTGTGTCCAGATTTTTTTGTTTGCTGAATGATAATTTATTATGATGCAGCCCTTCTTACACTGAACTTTCTTTCCCAGTTAATTTTCTGTGTACTGAGCTGGTCATTGTTCCATGAATACAAGTTCACCCCACACTTACACATCCACCACCTAGTCATAAAATGATTGATGTCAATTCAAGGGGTATAGTGTATACACATAGTGCTTTAATATCTACAGTATAATATACAGATTATATATATATATACAGTATATGTTTGTATATTAGTTCAGGTGGTGAAGATAGAAAGGTGGATGTATAGTTCAAGTGTGTGGTGACCACGAATTGTACAATTGTCCTTTATGATCTAATACTTAGCAGAAATATTTGGAATGAAACGCAAATTACATTTTATCAACTAACAACTAATGTCTATTCAGGATGTCTGTCAAAGGCAATGTGACAAAATGTGTATCTACTTCCAACCAGCATTTACTCAAGTTGTCTGCATAAAGCAATAACAAATTAAGGCTACACAATAAAAATATCATAAATAAACTCTTCACCCTCTAGGAATTCAAAAATATTTAATAATCTCTATGGATGTGGTAAGAACAGATATGACAGATCTGGATGGAATGACAGATGTTATAAATATTATAACACCAAAAGAAAGAGGTAGCCTAAAGGCACCCATAATAATGGGAGAGGGGGAATTTTTGACAAGCTGCCGCCTTCCTGCCCCTGTTGAGGCCACCAGTGATGGTGGCCGTTCGGCAAATCAGGTATAATACTGCCTTGGTGCTATTCCATAACACTGAGAAAAACTTCTAAAAGGTCTACAGCAACTTTCCAGACTTATCACTGTAGTATAACTCTTAGAGGGTAACAAGTAAGGTTTCTTCCTACAAAACAATATAAGTTAAACAATTTTAAGTTAAACGTTGTATGTAGAGTCTACCCCTAACATAACAGCAGTCTGACTGATAACTGCCAATTCATGTTGCTACACATCTACAATTATCCAAAAAATTTAAAATATTCATAATTACCCTGAAATTATATACAAGTATGAAATACAAGTATGAAAGATATGTTCATATGCCTATTACTTACATTCTTATTCTAAACTTGAGCTAAGAGTTTTCAGAATTAACTCGTATATTTTCAGTTCAATAGAAAAATGTAATATTTCTTAGTTTTGTAATCATCTCTAATAATGTAAATATGTCATGTTTAAAGCCACAACAAGTAATATTCTTTTAATTTAGAAGTTTTTGAATATTGAGACTAATAATCTTATCCAGCACATTTAACAATATACAATAGATCTGTTTTAAAATCATTCCTTGAAATATCTCAACTTTATTTAAATTACTTATTGCTCTGTTTTGATTACAAAGAAATCTGGTTAGTAAAATCAGAAGCTTCACAACTATGCAGTTAAGATGCTCAGCTTGAATATAATCTTTGTGCTTGGACCTCACAATACTCTGTTTTATATATGTATTTATAGTAATATTAGAATTGCTGCTAAATTATTTATTCACTGCATAATGATCATAACTGATAAAAATATTGAGCCAGTGTACTATTTTATTATAAAAGAAATCTGTGTCTCACTTGGATTTTGGGCACTACCTGTACTAGGTTAAAATACAATCATCACAGTGCCACACCAAAGTAACTTAAAAAACAAGTACAACTTCATTAAAATATGATCTGTGAATTATTGAAACATTAGTGTCCTAAGCATAAAATTGTAGTCAATGGATTTTCTCTTTTTTAAAAGAGCACAAAATTGCATAGCAATGAAGTGTTCTTGCATTTATCCTAAAATTTTCCTTTACAGCATTAATCTTAATACAGTACTCATGCCAATTCACTAGCTGTACCAGTAACTATGATATACAGATCTGCAGCAATTTGAAATAAAATACATTAGGAATCTAGATATTTTAGTGCTTTACATTTATTTTTTTTACACATGCATAACTTATTTAAATACCATATATACTGCATACAATAGATGTAAATCTTATAGTTACTAGATGTTTTCTATGTGCAAATTAACACTCGATGATTGTATCATAAATAAATAACACTAGTTATCAATGCCAACTGCACTGTTTCTAAGGCAATAGATATCACTAGCATGTACATTTTTAAACTGTCAACTTGCATATTTTTAGGGGACACAAGTAGCATGTTTACTTTTGAGAACAGCCAGATTACCAGAGTAGGAACTTGCAACACACACAGCCACTCATAAGTGCTGCAAAGGTGAGTTAAATGAAAACGTGACATTCTGAGGTGTTGCTCTTCATGTGTAGTAAGTTCTTTACCTACAAATTGTAGCTCTCAGTAGAATGTGAGCTTTGAGATTGGAAATAACGCTCCTTACTGTAAACATGCAATGAACTGAAGACCACACTTTTTTGTGGACCTTAAAGGAGTAAGAGGCAGTGAAATCTGGAGGCAAAATCAAGATTTCTCTAGCAAGGAATGAGAATGTGTGGTCATCCATCCAATCCTACCTTGAATTTGACTGACTGAATGACACACACATCATCCATTGCACCATGCCATTAACACTTACATCTCATAGTCCAGAATTTACAAGTTGGTGGAACAAATTAACTGATATGGTAAATGAGTGCCACTGAGAAAATTGTGTTGTTGTGTTGCTGTTGTGTGTCAAAAGGTAGGGACCCTGCTGAAGTGTAGCATTTATCACCATTAATTTACATTTACAGTAATTTCTAGTTTTCATTTGACCACCCCTTGTATTAAACCATGACCCCCACTATAGCACTACAGACTAGCTGTGTAATCATTTATACAGTACTGTACTATACATTCCAATTTAAAAGGTCATAAATATCTGTAAAGAAATAAAAATGAAATTACTCTGTACTATGTATTGCATACAAGAGATAATTTTATATTAAGAAGTCTGCAGTATGGTGTGATTTTCTATTATATCAATTACAATATATATTTATTTCTTCATCCAGTGCATGTGATTATTAAAACCAAATTTTTATAACAATTATTGTCCAATTAATGATCATTAAGGAAAACTAAGATAAATTATAGTGATCAAACCACCACTGTTGAGTCCGTGAATTTGCACAATCTGTCACAAACACATCATCCATGGACTGCTTGTCACCTCTGTCAAGGCATTTATTTGTGGCCTTGTGGATGATATGACCAGTCTGTAAAAAAAAAATGCTGACTAAGGCTTTCAGTGTAAATGGAAAAATTTCTTTTAGAATATAGTACTGTACTCGGTTCCTCTTTTAGAACATGCCCTGCTATTCATATGGATAGGATTAAGCACAGCGAGGCCAGAATGTCCTAAAAGTTCATTCGTTAACATTCAAATCCTTTCCAATTGGTATACTCAGCATTGAAGAGACTATCAAGGAGTGCTCTGCTAACTGTCTGGCTGCTGCCCCCAACAGCAACCAGATGTTAGCACTTTGTGAGCATGGCAAATGGGTTCTGTTCACCTCATATTTCACCTACCTAAAACACTATATTGCACATAAAAGAAGTAGTACCAGATAGAGCATCAAACAGAAGGGAATCTGAGTTGCTGGAGATCCAAACAGCAGCTGCCCAAATGCCACAAATTGATGACAGGCATGCAATTCAATCTCTAGAAAGCTTTAGGCCCTACTGTCAGTACAGTGTACTGTACTGTATAAGAAATGAATGGTCCTTGAAGATGGTATATTTCTGCGGCAATACACCCATGGTGAAAGGCATTAGACTCTTACATGGCCAGAAATGAGGAAGGTATTAGGAGCTTCAGAAAGCAATTAAGAATGCCAAAAAGCATAAATCTTGTCTACAACACTACTAGGAAGTCACTAACGCAATACCTAAAAGCTAGGGCCAAAACAAAATTGCATTCAAGGGATTACCCCTGAGTGACAAGGTCCCAGAAACGTGGAATGGCAAGAACTCCAAAATCTTGTTTAACGACCAAAGTGGCTCCAGTGGAGAAAGTGCAGACCTAAGATGAAGCACTGCACATCTTAATTTTTGGAAGGGAGGAAGCAGGAATTACAAACCAAAAGATAATAAACTTTACTGGTACTGATCAGTAGGAAGCAACAGTATTCAGTATGTGAGATGTTCCTGAAACAACCATGTGAGTATCTCTAGAATCACTGCAATCAACAGACAAACCATGTTGACAGGAGAGAAGGTCTTGTAGCACACTTGACTTCATTCTTGACTCACAATTGGGGATCCCAGGTTCAATTCCCAGATGGGGCAGAAATGGTTGGGCACATTTCCTTTCATCTAATAGATCTGTTCCCCAAGTAGTAAATAGGTATCCCAGGAGTTAGGCAACTAGTGTGGGGTTGCACCCTGGGAAAGGTAAGTAGTCTGACCTGGGGGGGGGGGTAGGGGGGCCTTGATACAATCCTTTACACGGGCTTCCTGTCCCCGACAACAGGCATTATACTCCCCATGCTAGAATATGACATAGAGGATACAACAAATGGACCATAAATTCCAATTGGAAGATCAGTGCAGACCTGAGAACCATCTATGAGGTACCTATCACTGATATACTGAGAGGGGCAGAGTCTCATGAAGGGAACCAACTGTGGGAAATGAGAACATGGCTGATAACCAGAACTAATTTAATCAAATGGGAACCAACAACATGATGCAACCTACATAACTCTCTAGCTTGGAAAACATATGAATAACAACTTGAACCAGAGCAAGGAGGTAAATGAAATTCTACGGACTCCAGTCTAGGTGAAATACGTCCCATGCAAATGTCTTCTGAACAGAAAATGGCACAACAAACTATGGAGGCTATTGGTACCAAGGCAAGGTGAAAAGATCTATCTGTAAAAGCTTGAACCTTCTGCACATCCATTGAAAGGAAGTCCTGTCCATCTCACCATTCTATAAAAATTGACCAATGAAGTAAAAGACATCACAAGCACATTCCTGAAGTCCTGAAGATGAACCACTCTTCAGGACAGAATCCCAGAGAAGCTAGAAGCAAGGTAATTGCAGAACCCACCCCACACAGGTACTGAATGGGTGATATTCCTATGTTCAGGCACTGAACCTGTGGAAGATAACTCACCAAACCATATGGAATGGGAATATGTCCTAGCTTCATCCAAACTGCTATAAAACCACCTCATTGTGACAGAGCATCAACCACAGCTACAGGGACCAGATCCCTTGACTTGAGCAACAATGGGTGCCACAGAATGGAATACCACATAACCCAAGAGGAAAGTGATGACAAAAATTCTAAAGTAGGACTCTTGGGAATGCACTTCATGGTCCAAAGACCACACAGAACTAACCAGCAGTAAATTGGTAGAGGTTTATCAACCCCATGGTAGCAAAGTTGAGTCACCCCAGCACCTGCTTGAACTTAAGAAGGGAATGCCAATATCTACACATCATCAAAGATGTACCTGCAACTGCCATAACGCAGACTCCAGGTTCAAGTATCCTGATATTCTAACAAAGTCCCAACTACAGAATCTACCACACAAACACCAACTAAAACTCCTGAAAGATCAAAAGAAAGCCATACTAGCCACAAATACAAAGAACCCAAGCCCTGGCCTGAGGATACAACAAACAACTGGGAGCCCAAATCAACAACTGTTGTAATAGGTCACAACTGAGACCCACCCACATTGCCAAAGCTTATGCAAAACCACACTTGTAAATCTGGCAAAGGCCCTGGACACCAAGTGGAGCCTGAAAGTGGGAATTGGTGTACCCCACCTGAAACCCCAGACAATCCTCAAACCAGGACGGGAGGGTTGCCCCATGTGTGTGGAGACCTGGGTACTCTCTTCTAGTACTATACATCAGTATGCAATCGAATATTTCTGTCATATTTCTAGGTAAGCAAGGAGTCAGCCCATTTCTCAAACATGATGATGTTTTCACTAAGTGAAAGTAATAATTACAATTAAAATTAACACCATTATATTTATAAACAATTGTCACACAAGGCATTAAAAGGGTTAATAAAAACTCACCTGCGTCATTAACCATTCTTGATTTCCTCGCTGCCCATGACAGTGAGTCATTCTAACTTTTTCTAATGTCTGCATGAAGAAGGCTGGCACCTCTGCACACACTTCCTCTCTTCGGAGTTCTCCAGTTTTTGACAGGGACATAAACTATAGAAAAAATTAAATTACCTGTACTCATTTAAAATTTTAAAAATTAGTTTTTAAAGATAGTAATATACCAAACGCCTTCACCAGTAACAAATAAAGGAAGGTCAGCTGTATTAATCTCAGCATTCAAGATGGTAAATTAAGACATTACAATTTGTTATGACATTAAATAATTATACTGAGGGACCTCATTATCTACTTTATTTCCCTATTTTACTGATACTCGTGTTAACCAAAACTAATAAATATCTGGATCCTAACTGAAATTTTCTAACTCATTTTTGATAAACTAAAGTTCCGCCTGATAAAGCAAAACGTTTTCCCACAACTCACTTGATGGTAGAAGACATTCATTTAAACCAAGTAGCACAAAAATGTGATGGTTGTCTGCATATACAGTATAGTGGAACATTCCCAGAAAAAGACCATTACTGTTCAAGTAAGCACATTTGTATGTTAATAATATAATGCATTTTAGTAAGTATTTTAACATTATATGTGGTACAGTTGGAAGATAATCTGGATTCCATCAATAGGATCCTGTTTGCTTCTGCTTTTTTTTCTGTAAGGGATGGATTCCTGGAAACTCCATATCCAGATCTTCCTTCTTATCTTAGTGACTGATAATGGCTGATTTTATAGCTTCCACTTGTTTAGCTGATGTTCCTTACCTACCAGGAGCTCTGTCTCCCAGTCTGGCCTAGTGAGTTCAACTGAATTAGCTGAGCATTTTGCTTGCCTTTCTATCAGCGCCATCAGCAGCTGCACCTCTTCCCAAGATATTCGTGCCAATACTTCGTTCCGTCCTGTCGGTGTGTATTTTAAGAGTCAACTCGGGTATCAGTGTCAAATGTTGAGTCAACTCAACACCTAGGTGACAGTGTTTGAACTCACAGCTGGGGTAAAGGTATGCCTATTCCCCGAGCAAATGAGGTTATCATGCTTCTATCATCTATTGGTGGAAGCTGACAGGTGTTGTCCATGTTTGGGAAGTCTTGGTGAGGTTGCTTGCCCCATTTGTCTGCCCTGTTGTGATGGGCCCCAGTGACACCATACTGAGGAAGTGTTGTCAAGCTTTTCAGAAAGCTTGAGCCATGATTGCCTGTGTTTAGCAGATAGTGTCCCAGGATATCTCCTGGGCATGGTCTCTTTAGCCTCCAAACGTCTCCCAAGACCACTGATTACCAAACTAAGGGCCATGGCCTCCTGGGGGAGGGACCTTTATGTAATCTGTAGGGGCCCATAAATCGAGGCAGTACACAGGTTATAATATTTTAATTCAATTAATTCAATTCATTGTGTCAGAGGACAGGCAGTTAAAGTGTATTCATGCACGTTAAGATTATATCGAGAGGTTCCCTCCCCCCCCAGATTGAATTATTGACCTCGCCCAAGACACAACCCCACAACAAGCTGACTAACTCCTGAAAACACCTACTTACTGCTAGGTGAACAAGGGCATTAGGTGATAAGAAATGCACCCAACCAGTTCTGTCTCGCCCATGATTCGAACCCGAAATTCTCGATTGTGAGTCGAGAACGAACCCGACTGTACTACCGGGACCCTTCTACTGAGTGTAGGGGTCATTAATAAGGATGCTAAATGAAAAAGGGGTAATGACTGTAAAGAGTTTGGGAACCACAAATATATATAAATATTTTTTTTCTGCACCCTGTGAAAAATCCAGTTGGAAAAACTCCTCAGGAACAATGGAAGGGAGTTTGAGGAGGGAACCTTTGACAAGCTGCCGAATTCCTGTCCCGTAAACCACTACAGATATAGTAGTCCTCAGGTAAATAACTATACACTAAAAGGATTACTTTTCTTCCTTATGTACTTGGGTTATCTTCAGATGATTTCGGGGCTTCCCCTCTGCCTGGTCTTCGACCAGGCCTCCTTTTTGTTACACCCCCCCAGGAAGCAGTCCGTAGCAGCTGTCTAACTCCCAAGTACCTATTTACTGCTAGGTAACACGGGCATCAGGGTGAAAGAAACTCTGCCCATTTGTTTCCGCCTCCACCGGGGATCGAACCCGGAACCTCAGGACCACGAATCAAAAGTGTTGTCCACTCAGCTCTCAGGCCCCAAGTGGGTGGGTAAAGATTTATAACACACTAAATCTAAAATAATTTATCTTCATATTATATATTAAATAATCATAAATGGGTAATCAGTAACAGAACATAAAAAGAGACTATATCAAATATAACAATTCTGCATAAAAATCCTTAGTTTTGACAGTCCCATAATTATTTAACACTTTGACTAGAATTTTGTGTTTTCAATTTACAATTGGCAAAAGTTTCATTATAAAGTACAGTATATAAAATTTCATATTAGTTGCAAAAATAAAATAAAATACAACCATGAAAGTAAATTCGTAACAAAGTACTGTACAGTAATTATTTAATGAATAACAAGTTGACTACAGTGTAATATACAGAGAAGCCTTATGAATAAATACTGTATCATACTAGATAATCTTTACCTGGCTAGACGCCATGAATGTGTGGCAGCTGTAGAGACCCATGTTATACGGACTCTTCTCATTTCTTTGAAGATTATCAAAACAAATGTCTGGTTTGGTTGCATTGTTACGAAGCTACAAGGAAATGAATAGAAATATGTGAAAGCTTTAAGAATACCTTACAACAATATGGTTCCCAAGGTGAAGTACAGTACATACATGGTATTGCTTGAAGAGAGAAGAAAGGATAAAGAAGGAATAGTCATTCATACAGTACTTACAAACTGGAATAAACATGCATAATGAGAAAAATAGTATTATTACATTACCTTGCTACTTGCAGATCATTGGTAATATGCAGTAGTTATAAGTGATTATCACTTACAAGTGATATAAAAGATTACATTAACTTCATAGTTATATTTTACATTCTAATCCACTATTAAAAAAAACAGGATTGTCTATACACATTCTCTGTAAAATTATCTTGTAATCTACACTAATTCAAATAATCAGACCCTCTCACTTTTTCATCAGTCATATGAAGCTTAATTTAGAGTGATCTTAATTGCACAAACTGTATTTTAATCTGTTTATCCACTCTTAAAGTCCTCTTAACATTCCATCTCTGTTTACTCTTACCACACTTTCTTCATTGGTTCAATTTTACACACATTTCTTATGAAATTATTAATTATTCTGATATTAATTAGTAACATTTTACCCAATTCGGAAACATTTACATTCTTGCACCTTACCATTTGATTAAATATGTATGCTATTCAGCATCATTATTAACTTTCCCCTCCTGAAATATCATGCAGTTTATAAGTACAATACAGTACAAATATTACTGGTGGCACTTTTCTGGATACAGCCCTATTATAACTTCAAGATTTTATATTCCAGTAATTCAGTTTATATATTCTTTTATTAATTGTCTTCACCGTATATAAAAAGTTTGAGCATAATTGCCTTTATGCTTGAATTACATGAACTTCCATTTTTAATTTGCAAATTTCATTTTTGTTCTTTAAATTATAGTCATGAATATAGTCTTCAGTATTTTTCCAAACATTTCATATTTGTTATTTTATTTTTAATGAATGGTGTATCTGAAATATAATCTCACCGATGAATATCTTCATTACCTACTTCAAAAACGGCTTCATCAGTGAAATAATTTAGTACAGTATCCTCATAAAAAAAAATACAGGACAATATGCACTTTTAAAATACTCTATCTTAACTAACACAATTATTTAAATAGTTCTTTCACCCAAAACTTACCATTTTTCATTGGTTAAATGTATACAAGGTACAGTATAATGCATAGTGTACATATATGTACTGAATATCAGTGTACTTTTAAATTTGTCCATGGACCAACTGTTTTCCCCCCATAGTTGTCTTACCTCATTCCGAAGAGGCGCATGTTGGCAAGAATACAAGCCGAGGTAGTAATCACTGTTGTCCAGATCCTCACGTTCAAGGGTATCAAGACATATATTCATTCCAATGTTTCGTACCTGTGTTGGGTCATTGCAGGTCAAAAGTCAAGGGTTAAAGTCGTTGTTATTGGTAGTCAGGTCACAAAAAATAAAATAAGCAGGGTCAGACAAGGACAAAAACGAGTAATCATATACACCATTGTTACCCAAACACGAATTAAAAAATATACTGCAAATGTGTAAGTTTATAGGCTGGCAATGACTGGAATTATATAAGAAAAAGAGTTTGCAGTGATATTTTTGTTGATTTTTTTTTTTACTAAAATTGATATAAATAGCAGCTACATTACACTGTGTATCTTTTGCATTAAAATATACAGTATACAGATTTTTAACCTTACAATTTACTTTACATCTGTAAAGTAAATTATAAGAAATTTCAAAATTAAAATTTAAAGTAATTTCAAATAGAACTTCGAAATTTTGTTTAAATACCTGTATACAAGTTATATCTTCAGTATTATTGAGAATTTATAGATATGCAAATTAATTGATGTACAGTAAATCCCCTCATTTTTGCAATTTTGATATCTATAAACTTGTATTTGTACAATTCTGCCTTTAATCATTCCTGCATAAAATTGTAACCTGAAAATTGTGAACCATCCAATTAAAGCTTTACATAAAATTCCCTTTGAAACATTTATTGTAATCATCTCGGTGCCATATTCTTGTACCACTGTATGTTATTTTCACAATTAATTCTCACTTTTATATGCAATTTAAGTTTTAATTATCTTCCCAATTACCTTAAACTGTACAGTATTCCACAAAAATCCAGACCTCTATATAATGCTGAAGTACAGTTTGGGATGTGAGAAAATCAAGAGCATATTTCGGAAAAAAATCCTATGGCTCATTTTTATTTTGGAAGTTGGCAGTTTCTTTCAGTGGAAGTTTGCATTTGGCTTGGTGGAAGTGCCAGAAATGTTTGTTCTAAAATGTTATAAAACCAGAATGCATTAATTATTTATTTGATCAAGTTCCCAAAACATTTTGTGAATTTAAGAGGACCTGAATGCAACCACCAATGAAGAACTGAACACCATGGGATCCTCAGTCTGTATGGTGCAATATAATAGCTCAACATAGTAACACACCGACAGTGGGAGTATGCTACAGGCTGACACAGCAACAGCAGAGGAAGTAACTGATCTGCATAATGTGATCAATGTGGTGTCACAAACTCAAACTCTTATAATGGCCGATTTTAACCTCGAAACAATAGATTGGGTAAATCTAACATCACAAGAAGGAGATCAATTTCTAGACCTGGTGCAGGTCTTTTCATTCTTAAGTAAGACCTCTCTACAGTCTTACAAAGGATTGAGTGATAACTATAGTAACATTAACATATAATCATAAATATTAGAAAATTCACTGATAAATCATAGGAATGTGAAATTTTAAATACAATTAATTACTGCTTCAAAACAACATTGAGACCATAATATATTTCATATAACTTCCTAGGCACTCATTTATGTACTTCCAAAATTGTATTATTTTTTTCTGTAGCACATTATTATAATAAATTTACAGTGCTCTATGCTGTATTTTGATAATTTGTAATACGTCCCATAAGATATTTAACAATTGGATAAATAATATGACGTCTCATAAGGGTTGCAGGAATGTGTTGCAAGTCTGCAGGGATTTACTGTATAGTAATGTTATTAAAGCCAGGACAGACAAGAGAAGAGAGGTGGCATGATGCACAGAGAAAATCAAGGAGGAACTAGCAGCCATGCATTATTTCATGCTGCACCATGTTAGTTATACAACATTTCAGAAGACACAACACACATGCAAATTAGAATCTAAAGCTGTAATCACTTATAACTGCAGTTTGTGCAGTTATTAGTGATAAAATAAAGTAATTAATTTTTGTTTACTGTTAACAGAATTTTGACACTACTGCAATTTTTATGCTTCCTCATTTGGCTTCATAAAAAGATAAATTAGTGACTACAGTTTTGTCATTAGTCCATTATTATGTCAGATTGTCTAGTCAATTTATATGATTTGTTATAATGTATGAATGACTTTGATATATGTTTGAAGAGCAACTAAAATTTTAAGAAAACACAAATACAATGTGATGTTTTTTTGTGACATTTAAATACAGTAGTGTAAAATTTTCCAAATACAAACATAAGCAAGGAATATTTACAAACAATTTTAATATTTACAAAACAAAATTATATTTACAAACAAAATTACAGTATTGTACAAACATACCCTATTTAGCATGAGGGACGAGAGGATATGTTCCTGGAAAGAGAAGACTTCTACGGAGGGAATGCAAATTCCCTTTTAGAGATGCATTTTCAACTTCACAGTTTATTACCTATGATCAACGAGATGTGAGTTACCGGTGGGATGATGGTCTAGGTTGTGGCACATCCTCTTTTTTTGAAGATGGCATTAAGGGTTGATTGCCAAGCCCAAAGCTACTTCTCTTGGAGCAGATCACATCAATAATAATTCTCTTCACTACAGTGATGCAATGAAATTCTGCATCATTTTCATTGAAGAGACCCAGGGCCTCCATGACTCTTATTGATGCTCTCGATCGAGCATCTTATCAATGCTCTCTGTCAAAACACCTTCAGTGAGATATCTTTCAACTATAGTACATCTTAAATTTGTGAAGTACTGTAGTTGTCATCCTCAGCGAAATATTGCAGTTCCAGCTCTACAGGTGAGACTAGCATAGCTTGTGCACATCATCGAGGTCAACTTGGCCTATTTCTAGTAGGTGGGTAAGTTGAGCTTTATTGGCAACTGCTGTTCCATTCTATTCAAAACTCCTGAACGCATAACATACCATATACTATAAATTCTTCCAGCATCTGTTCATACAAATGCCAGTCACATCCACAAAGGCTGCATTGATGTTTCTGATGCCCCTTCATAAAATCAAAAAACAACCAATCCCTGACTGCTTATTTCTACCATGTCTCCTTCACCAGTGCCATAAAATTGCATCATAGGTAGTACACTTGAAATCTAGTGGTAGGAACACCACTTCCACAGAAGTGGAAGTTTGTAGACCACCCAAGTTCTCTGGATTGCCAGAGGCATGTCAGCCACCAACAATGCTGTGTGCTACAAATCATTTCCTCACAATAATACTGAGCTGCTGGGCAGGTACTGGAGATGAACTACAACTAGAATGTCTCTTGTCACCCATTCTTTTTTGTTTGACCTCCAAATTACAGACATTGCTCCTTAAAATACCTCTTCATTAATTGAGGATTCATAGTGGTAGACAAACATTCACTTGTTGCAAATGAATTAAATGATATTTCCATGCTTATTGTGGTTTGCAATTTATACTGTATCAAGTCCAGACATTTAGGATTAATAGCCTGTTTTCAATTGCAGGACAGTAGGACATTGTTAAAGAGCACCTTGCATGATGATTGGTGTGTTTTTTCCAGTCTTCAATATAAATGAGATGTATTTCCATTATTCCCTTCCATTATTTATTTTTCTTAATTTCATATGCCCTTCATAAAAAAAAAAAATTGCTCATTCCATAATAAGCCACTATTTTATGACCAGTTCAACAAGCACAGTAGAACATACAAAATTCCTAATAAATACTGTACTATGGTGAAGATATCCAACCCATTCTCCTGTTTAGATAGTAGTTTTTGAAACTATGTGCACTACAGTACAAATATTGCTGTTCTAAGCAATTAGATAGTAGAACTTTATAGTCTGAAAAAATGAAGCTAAAAAACAAACTTAAATATTCCTAGACCTAGTATAGCACACACATGTACTATATTAGGCCTCAGATATTGTGTATTAGGCCTAGGAAGGTTCGGTTAGGTTACGTTTGTTTATCTTTGCAACATAAGTAGAAAATAGTTTTCCAGTTTGTCCAATTCAATATTGTAGTGCCAATTTCTACTTTCTAATTTTGTTGTAATAAGTCGGTATATATACTACGGTCCTCATCGTTACTGTAAGTACTGTACTACCAAAACAGGAGGATGGGTTGAAATATCACAAATGTACAGAATAAGCTAATACCAAATATTACTATTAACTGCATGTGATACCATGTGGTAATATTTACTCTGTTGAACCATTTTCCCAAGTACTGGATGTAAATGTATAGTACTTCCTGTATGTCATTAGTTTGGCTACGTTTCTGGATAAATGTAGCAATATATACTTTAACCCCAATGTCTTCATATGGAACATAATTCTTACTTTCAAGTTAACCACAGTTTATTTGTTGCCAGCTACAAATAACTCCAATAATAATTCTAAAAAAGCATAATATAATTGACTTCATCTTAGGTCAACACTACACAACATAACTATCTTTCCCTCCACCGCCTGTACTACTCAGTAGGTTCATAACTCAGAGAAGCAAAATATGTCTCCCAAACATTCTCATTAGGCTAATTCATTCCAGATAGAAAGAAAGAAAGATAAGAAAAGTGGAAAGAAACCTTAGGAACCAAAATTTTTTGTAATAAGTTACCTGAATAACATTAATCCTTAAAATCTATTGAATTATTAAATTTTTTGTTATATATATATAAAACTCAACTGCTTCTAAATTAAATCATAATGTTTTTCAAGTACTACTTCATTGCTCTGTTACCTAATTTCTGAGCTTGCTCATTGTGCCTCTCCCGAAGGTGTCTGATCAGCTTGTTGTGCATCGTACAGCCAGGCACCAAAGGGATCTTTTTCAGAATATCCGTGCAGGGTCGTAAAAGAAGCTAGGGAGTCACTGGAGAATGTACAAGTCCAGTTAAGAATGACAGCCAGAATGTTTGTTCATAAAGCCTTAAAGAGCTCCTTCATGTGTGACCTCCAAAATCAGGCTCTAGTTAAACACTCACCATACTTATTTATCTTTACAAGCCACCACCTGGTGGCAGCAGTACACCCAATTCACTTCGCATACAGCCTTACAATGTCCCATGTTGATCAGCAGGATAGGGCCCAGTGTTTAAAATAAGTTTACCTATTTGTCACTTGCATTTGATCTTGGGATCTTTCAGATACATATCGACTGAATAAGCTGTGGTCAGTAGATAAACAATTAGTTTTTACAAGTTTTTGGAGTGTCGCTTGTTTTCTTTTGGATAGCACCTCAGTTTTTTTGAGGAGCAGTATTCCGTTGGTGATCAGATGTAGCAGTCTCGATTCAGCATTTTCCGATATTCTCCCTAGAGAATATAATAAAATTAGATAAATCCATTGTTCCCTGTTGCTGGTTCATGGGTCTAGTTGTCTATCCTATCTTCTGCCGAGGGTTTGGGTAAATAAGATTGTACATCCTATAGGTTTAATCCGAGACCTAGTTTGTGGACAGGGGAGGTCAAGTTTGCTGGGCCTTCCGTATCTATTTTATATGACAGGGTTAGATTTGGATCCTCCACAGATAATGGTCATTTTACTTTATGTCTGCTCTGTACTGAGGGTCAGAGCTTATAGAATTTGAAGGGCATTGTATTGCTTTGCTGTATTTGCCTTGTTGGAGTCAGCGCTAGCTTCACACTAGTGTATGTGAAGTGTATCATGAGTAGTTAGCTCACCTCTTTGACTCTCTATCCCAGTCTATATATACAGCTGCTACTGAACTCAGGTCACAAGTTCAAAGTATTTGCAACATGTATAGGTAGTGGGCTTTTACTGTCTTTGACCATACACATAGGAGATCTTTCTCTGTCTCAGCCATCAAGAAATGGCTTAGAAATATGAAATGGGGTTCTAGGTTTAGGGTGGATCTGTAGCAGTTTTCCCAAACTAATTCTTCTGTAATGAAGAAATAACCAGTCTCAGAAGAAACCTTTGGTGCTTCACCCCCTGAAGAGAGGGACAGTGCCTTCAAGTTTTTCCTCCAAGGTGCCTCACTTGTGCAGTGTAAGCAAGATGTGGGAAATCAATTTTAGAGATACATGATGGTATTTGCCAATACAGAGCCCTGAAGCTATATTGTTGCCAGTACACATTTCTGACACTAGCAGTGCAGTCTCCAGTGGAGATTTGCCCATAATGAGCTCTTGTGCTTTATGCTCACTGGTTGTCTAGTACAGATCTCTCTACCTTCCCATTGTATTGGTAAGGGTTTGCCTTGTCATGTAAAAGTCCTGAGGCCAATCAATATGCATTTATTTGCCTCCTCTTTGTAGAGAGATTCATATTTACTCAATGATAAACATTCAGGTGCTACCTTCACCTTTATCTGGTTGGGGTTTCATTCTGTTTGTTTGTACTTGGTACAAATTAAGATATTATTTCTGGTAGAGGCTAGCTTGTTATTAACCTTCCCGCTGTTTCAGGTTCCCAGAAATTATATTTGGTGGGGCTAAGTATCACTGGAGATCATGTTAGGAAAGACACTCCTTTTGCTGATCTTCATTTGCTTGATATTTTGCTTCATTGGGATCATCCATGATAGTCATGAGCAGCTTTGTTTCTTAAAGTCAGCATCTATGTGTTTCTTCAGGGAACAGCATCCCTGTTCTCTCAGATTTTACTGATAGTTCTGATAGATTTTACTCTCTATCCTTCTTTCTGTTGAAGACTGTACCTTTAGGAGCAGCAAGGTAAGCATGCTCAGATATCAAGCTTTGGATTTATGAAAAGCATGTTGCTGACCAGATCATTCTGCCATTCCCTGCTTCCTTTTCCCTATGCTCAGAGAATTTTTAACTAGAGCCTGCTATGGTGCATCATACAGGTGAAGACATGTGATACTCTGTAATGTATAATTATAAGTTTATGAAAAGATCCTATAAGTTGTTATTCTTGGCTGGACTGACTTTTGCCAGCAACTTTCAGGAACCTAACATGAATCTGGGATTTTTTCATGATATCCCAGAAGTCTTGCCAGCATCATATCATTTCTGCCCCATTGTGCACTATTTTCAACATGATACATAGCAAAACATATACCTTTGGAAACAGCAGAATGAGCTGCCCAGAAACTTTTAAAAAATAAATCCATTTTTATTCCTAAATTATTATCAGTTTAATTTTTGTTTATATTAAATACTAACCTCATTATTATTATTATGAATAAATTCATATATTAAAACTAAAATAGACAATGGTGAATAGTGCTGGCAGATGGCCATGTACACACTACAGCAGTAACCTGCCAAAGAATTACTCACTCGTCCATAAGCAAAAGCATCTTCATCAAGGATAAACTTTTGGGGATAAACATTGTCCAGGTACCACTTGAAGCTTTTACACTGAAGGCGGTTCCTTAGTTCTTTCCTTTCTCCAACATCTCCATAGTCTGCATGCTGTAAGTAGGTAGAGCCATTACAGGTTAATATCTTGTATCATTTAATGTATTATCCTGTTCTGTACTGGTAAAAACATACGTACATACTAAAAGATACAGCATTGTAATCTACAACTTGGCAGTATCTAACTAAGACATAAATACTAATGATACATTGAAATAAAAATTAATGGTGATGAATCCTAAATACAGTTTATGAAAGATATTTAAGTTGGAAATGCAGCCAGCTAAAACTAATTAATGTGACTTTCAATCATCTGCCTAATGGAAATGTACTGGTATTTCTATTTATTCTTACTCAGGAATGTGTTCTGAGATTTATTCTAATGTTACCTCTAATTCAGGCCTGTATAGATAAAATAGCCTTTTGTAACTATCCATCCAGGTTTCTGCCAGTCGTGCTGTGTTTAGTCCGTGCGTGTCCTTGTTGCCAGGGAAAGTATATGGGTGAAAGGAGCGGAAAATATGCCCAACACGAGAACATGGTATTGTCTCCAGTGTGCCGCCACACATCCAAACCTGCCACACACAACAATATTTCAATTAAAAAATTAAACTTCAATATTTAACTGAATATTATCAAGTAATTTTTAAATATAAAATCTTTTTTTTTTAAATTACAATAATAATTACAAATAATGCTGCACAGGATTTTTGTCGATGTATTTGTGCATAAATTTTCAGTTCAATATAGAGTATTTTTAAATATTATTTTTGGTACATTTTTGACTCTTTTTCATAAACATTACGAAAGATTTTGATACTTACTCTGAAAGACATTTCCAAGTTTTCTCCACCCCATACATCCATTCCGTCGTCATAGCTTCCAATCTCCCAGAAGTAGTTGCGCTCAATGGCAAACAATCCACCAGCCATTGTTGGAGATCTGACATATAAAAGGCTATAATACTAGATTCATTATAGGGATTATGGCACAACCCCATCTGATAAATGATCAGAAATTAACTGTTATTGTTCTTAGCCCATACATTATCAGTGACTTTCTCACAATTTTTATTTCTATTGTTAACACTTCAGCATTCCAATGAGATGCCTGAATGCATCATCCATACTTCAATAGTAAATGTTCCAATGATACTAAAACAACCACAGTGTGGGCAGAGCTAAACAGAGAACCAACCAGAAATCACCTTGGCTAACCACCCACTCACCAAAGACAAAAATTACTCTGCTTGTGTTTATTTTCTCTGTTCAGAAAATGCATAAGCTATTATCAATATACCTTGTTTTTGGTATCTATACTCTAGTTTAGACAATTAATTTGCAACCTTTTTTATACCAAATCTATAGTTATAACCTAAGAAATAACTTAGCAAACATGAAGAGTATAAACAATATTAGGTGTCACTGAGCAGGGCCTCAAGAGGACCAGGACATTTACAGCTGGGTGTGTGACAAGAGGTTGGACCACTATAGTGTTAACAAGAGAACGTTTGAAACGTTTTCCTCAATATCATCAGGTAATTGCAATTCTCTGACTATATTGAGTACAGCCAGTAGCAAATTTAAGACAGTCAAGTGAATGGGTTTGTTAAAGAATGAACATATTGACGTTGAACAGAGACAATTGCTGAACACATCAATGTAAAACACAAATAACTCATTCATGCACTCACTTAAGTCTTATTTATTGATACGTGTGCTCTATCTATATTCAGGACGACAGCAAAGTTAAATTCATGCAGATTATAAACATGCACTATTGCATGTTTATACTATTATAAACAATCCAAACACTATTATAAATAATCCACACGTATAGTGTGGAAATAAATCATGAATGTTGTGCTAATCATCTTACCTTGTTGGGCCAACAGGATTTGCTCTTCTCTTCTGTTCCTGCTCACTGATGTCTATCCAAGTAAAGTGTCCACTCCAAGTAAACCCACCAACCTAACCAGAAAACATCACAGCTCAACTTTCACACATCAGTGGTAACTATCAGTAATAATTTCAACACAATTTAATTCCTTCAACAGCCAAATGCTAATTAAATTCTGATACCGTATACAGTATACGTATATATATAATCTATTTCTGTTGTTTATAATAATATTAAAATATTAGTTATGGCATGTATATGGACAAACTAATTTAATAAGATCTTTTTTTAACATAAAACTTGCCTGAAGGCACTTTATTATTGACCAGGTAAAAATGTATTTTTAATAACAATTTGATACTGAATATCAACAAAAATTAAGTAAAATTCAAACAAGACTAGTTTAAATGGTCATTCACAACAAAAATGTTTTTTAATTCAATATATAGTACTGTACATGCAATAACATGGTAAGATATCTTAAACCTCAAAATATTAAGGAAAACATTAGAATCTAAGGGGTAGAAACACAGTACATGGACCATTATATTGGTCATTCATGCTAAATTAAGATTTAACAAATTTTTATATGTGAATAACGAACTCTTCACATGCAGCTACATTAAAATTTGAGTGTGAATATAAATTAAAAAAGAAATTCAGTTTACATCATGAAGACACTCAATAATTGTAATTGAATACAAAAATGTAAACTATTTAATATCTGAGTTCTGAATTAAAAATTAATGAAACTGAGCTTATATGAAAATTTCCATTCTGAGCGAGCCACTTGGTTACTCCCCATGGTTGGTTTCCACTGTCAGTAGGAACTGTTACATGCAGTTGGGTAGTAACTTTCTGGCAGTGGTAATCTGCAGGTTATATACTGGCATTGCTCTATGGAGTGATGGAAAAAAAATATCCAGTTTGAGCAATCCAAAGAAAGCATGAATGAAACTACAGTAATTCTAAGCCCTTCCAGGCTCTCTTTGGCATGAAGAAGAGCCTGGAAGGGCTCGTCTAAGAAAAAATAGCTAAAGAATGATCTATTGTACTTAACAAACAGTTGGTCTTGACTCTCTACCCTGCCTGCCACTGGGTGACAGCATCCCATATGCACAAAAGAATTTTCTCAGCACAGCTTTGTTCAGAATTTTGTTAGGGAATAGGAGCAAATGAGTGAAGCAGAAGAGAAGAATTAAGGAATATCTTCATTATATGCAAAGTAATCAGGAAGAACATCAACAAATTAGAGATCAAAAGCACCAGGTGTGTATTGAATGCAATCCAAAATTGTAAAGGAACTGGTTAATGAACTGTCTACTACTGAAGCTCCCATTCAGCTAATGCGAATTTCAGTGGTAGACTGAAACCAAGGAAGAGAGCCCCAAGATTGAAAATATATTGTGAATATCTTCCCCATCTTTAAGAAAAGCAGAAAATTACAAACTAGTCAGCCTAAACCTTACATGCAGAACATAATAAACAAAATGAGAGTTCCGGTAGTACAGGTATACAATAATTTGAGATCATCTCAAATTATGCTCCTTCACTAATTTTCTCATTCATCATTCTATCCTTCCACTAATTTTCTCATTCTTCAATTTCTATATTGATGACATTATTCCTCTCAGAAGTGTCACATCCGTGTTTGTAATTGTGTTCCTATAGCCGTTATATATTCCATCATGTAAATGTTCCGCTCATCTTTGTAACAAAATTATTAGTGGTTCATTTTTGTGTTTTTTAAATTATTATTTCAATAAACTTCACCAAAGGATATAAAAGCTTTCTCTAATCACTACTGGCAATATGTATATCAGTGTGTGTACTTTCTATTCTTCTTGGCCCTATTTCAAATACATACTTTACTTCTGTACATAAACATTCAAGTTCGAACTCTGCATCAAACAACAGCTCCTGGTCCTAGTGATTAAATGCGAGATGCATTGTCGGGATCATCTCCTGTCTAAATCTCGTTGAGGCAAGTCGAGGCAGCTGGTCAAAGTTGACATGTGTAGCTCTGGATTACATTCCGACTGCTTATTAGATGTGACAATATAAGGCATCTAGAAAGTGCTAACAACCAGCATATAAGGGCTAATTATGTACATTGGACTTTCTGCGCAATGCTGAGATATATGTTGATTAATTTTTGTCATGCTGATGGTAGGCTCCTCTATTTTAGTTAATTACATACATCAAATCCATATACAGTATTAATGACAATCATCTGCTCCTCCTTTCCTCACCTACCTAATTACCTGAAGTAATTACCTGGTATCTAATTTATTTTGTTAACACAAAATTAAATTTTTCACATAATACACCTTCCTGAATATACTGTACAGTACTGGACTTTTAAAATGACTTCTTAAGTCTACAATATTTTAAACATGCATAAGTTAGCAATAAATTTACATTTCCTTTATTTGTGTTTATTGCTTCAAACTTTAGGTCTCGATATATACCTCAAACAAGCACAGAACATGTCAATATTAGTCAGTTCTTACCTTCTCATCCTCCAGCTTAAGTACAACTGTACAACTATTAATAATTTTATTCTCAAAATTTTTTTTATAAAAAATATCAACATTAATATATTTTTTTTTGTTCTAATATTCATTGCCAAGCCAACTATATTATTTCAGTAATACACGTACTGTACTCCATTTAGAATGTGTTAAAAAATACAACAAATTTAACCGAGTTTCTGTTGGCAAACAATTCCAAACTTAATATCACTAGTCAGGATGCACCTTTGAAGCATTTTGTCATAAAACTATATAATTACAGCAGCATTACAGTTATGTAACACATATACTGTACTTAGCAAAGTGCCATACTGAAATAAAATTTAATTTTAATAGAAATAAAAATTATTTAAAGAGAAAGGTAATAAATAATAAGGTTACATCATAATTAATGATTGAGGACAAAATTAATACAGTACAGCAATTATAATATTCCAGAAGTGATGTTTGATGAAAACTTTTTACCTTTTGTAGTCAGTGGCACCTCGATTAACGAGCAGCTCTATCTACGAGCATTTCAAGTAACGAGCAAGCCACCCAGAACATTTGTCTCTACTAACGAGCTTTTCCTCGATTAACGAGTGTTTTCACTGGTTCTCGGACACCTTTTACAACAGTTTTGTTGTTGTTTCGCAAGACGAGTTTTCCACGTGATGAGCTCGGTGCCGGAACGGATTAAACTCGTTAATCGAGGTGCCACTGTATGTATAAAAAATTAAGATGCCCATGTAACAGTTTAATATCTCATGTTGCTATAAAATAAAAAGCATAAGAGATAATGGCATTAACAGATAATACATCCAGTGTGCATGTTTGCAAGCCAAATTAACTAAAAGCTACAGTACAGTATTTCAAAATACAGTATACGGAATAAAAGCCTGTGCAGTCTACAAGAAGTTCATTTATAAAAAAGAAGTTCAGTTTAACTTAAATATTTGAAATGTTACGGCCACGTGTAAAATAATCTACAACTATAATATGTATTGTGAACAAGCTAATGTTTACCTGAATTTACCTGAAGGCCACAATCACTACTAGCCTCAATGGAAACAGTACGTTTGTGGAAGGTCCCTCCCATTATTTCAAAGGATTTTTCCAACTGTGTTAATACAGGGAGACATCTTCCGTCACGCAGGGTGCAGTCGCACCTCCACAGATCTCCAGTATCATCTATTGATACTGGAAATGGCTCAAAAGGGCCACCACTTATGGGCTATTCATGCCCAAGCCACCTTTTGGGTGGCTTAATCTTCTCTCTCTGTGTTAATACAGGTATACCAGGAGTATACATGAAGTGGGATGTAGGAGTTCTACTTCCCTTGTCTTGTTGCTTGGAGTGGCCCGCAGGCTCTCATGTTCATTACAACCTGCACACCTCATAGTAGCTTGTCTGTCTCATGAACACATCCACTTTTGTTCCAGCTATATTTCTTACAGTTGGAAGATGGGATATTGAGAGGATATTGTTATTGAAAGGATATTGAACAGCCATGGACCTATGATGTTCTGTGTTCTCTGATTGTGTCTATAGCCTATGGCATCACATTTGCAGATAACACCCTTGCAAAAAATAACAGTGAGGACTTGGAAAATAATCTAGTGTACATAAATACCTTCAAATGGTCAGAAGCTTGGCAAATACTTTTCAATACTGAAAAATTCAAGGCCTTAAATGTAGGGCATAACAATACACATAACTACCAAATCAATAACACAACTCTGCAGCAAATTGATAAAGAAAAGGACCTACAAGTTATGATCCACCAGTCATTGAAAGTAGCCCCAGACTGGGTTTGGAGAGGAGAAGAACTCTCAAAAGCAACTTCACGTAAGTAGGAACCCAAGTCAAACATCATCCCAGAACAAAGCCAACTATCATGCCAGGAAAGGTTAAAGGCCTCAAGACTAACACTACAGATCAGACACCACACATAAGAGACCTTAAAAATTCTCCAAATCAACAAATTAGAAAATATTATTAATCTAGACCATAATTGAGGACAAAAAGATGTTATTCACCCATATGGTATAAACCAATGCAATTGCCAACCCACTGAAGTTGTACATTCAATGGAAAAACCTTAGATATAATGGAGAACTTTTGACAAGCTGCCAGCAATCTCGGGTAAATTCTAATATAAACACTAAAGTCTTTGCACATACTGTATATTCTATAGATTAATAATACTGTACCATAATAATAATCCTCAACATTATAATGTGACTATACAGGACTGTAAATAAAAATTTTAAGCAGTGTGATAGGTAGGAACTTGTGTTCCTGGACTCAAAATGCTGTGGATACTTATTGGCTTCGCTGTACTGTATATAAAAATAACACAAATAGCTGAAATACATATAAATTCTATGACACATATATTTTTGCACAAATACAAATCTATTTATCTATAATCTTCTATTGCTACAGTATTTTGGCACAATAATTTCCACAGTACCGTACAGTCATTCGTAAACTTAAAATAATTTTATAGAACATAGTAAAGAAATATATAAAGTCCAGAAGTGTCTACCAATGTATGCTGTATATTTCTAGAGATAGCATAACTATTGACTACAGTATTTTCAAATTCTATAGTGATATTACTGTGTGATCAATAGAGAATACTATACCCTCAGGATGATAACTAATTAATAATGATGAAGCTATCTTCTTTTTATGTTATTTTATTAAAAATACAGCATATATAGTCACCAATTACTAGGCACTGATTTAAATTCCTTTTACTTCCTCATACTGTATATATTTACTATATTATGCACTCTTTGATGCCAGTTTATATTATAGCATTATTTAAGAAATGAAGAAGCTGCAGTAAGGATATAACTGGCTAGAAAAAGCTAATTGTAGGCTGAGCATAGCAAAAGCAAACTGAAAGCTAAAGATATAGCTAGTGTTAGTGTAAATTACCTGAAGCAATTTTTCATGCAACTCAAAAAATTGTCATGCCACTTATTTAATGTTCTCATGTACAAAGTTCGTGCTCCCCAAAGCAGCCATTTACTTAGAACACACTACCTGGAAGTAGCGTCCATTCCCGTGGTAGTATTCAAGAGTCTTGTCATCAATAACATCAATGATGGGAACAAGAACTGCTGATCGGCTCTCCTTTATTCTTTGGAGCAATGGTTCCATCCTGAAATATTTATTCTCTTCATATATTACTCACTAGAGCAACACTTGCAGATCACTTTGAACATTTGGTACAATCATGCCCGTGAAGACTAGAAGATGCTCAGAGGGTCCAGGGCAGTGTTACATCCACCACTACACAACAGATTAGGAAATGAAATACATTTCCTTTATATTCTATGATAGAACTCCTTTCCAAGATGAGGCTGAGAACAAAATGAATTTCAGTAGTGCACCTTCCAAATTGCTAAACATTACTCCATCTGCTTTCTGCTTCTCAAAGAATTTTAGTTTGAGCATGATTTTTGCAAACAATAATAGAAATACAAGCATCTGGCAAATTCTGAAAAATAAAATACAGTATCACAATTAGATTATCCTCTTTTCTGTCAAAACACATACCACAAATGTTGTTCTTGAGTACACATACATAAGATTCTTAGCATTAATAGAATCAATTATTGGGGTTAGCGCCACGTTCCTTTTTTCCTTCACACGCTGAAGTAGAGGCTCCATCCTGAGAAAGAAATTTGTGTAACAAAATGCACAGGAAATATAACATATGGGACCTAAAATGAAAATATCAAGGAGTATTATAAAGTGATTGTTAATACATAGGTAAAATATAGCTTCCGTTTCATCTGAATCTGTTCACCTAGCGGTAAACATATGCTTGAGAGTTAGGCAACTGTTATGGGTTGCATTCTAGGGATGTTCAGTAGCTGGCCTAGGGTAGGGGTTCGTAACCAGGAGTACTGGTTAAGAACCCAATAGTGTTGGTATTGGACTACGTCTGAGCAATATAAAAAAAAAAAAAAAAAGAGTCTGTTCAGATTAGAATTAACTTTAACTTATCAATACAGATTGAGGCAGTTCAATGTTTTGATTACATCAAATCAGCAAAAATCTCACTCATTGTAGCTAGCTTGTGTATTTATGATTTACTATGCTTCTGTAAATAAATTATATAATCCTTATGATATTTTTTTCAGCTGTTTTGTTCCTAGTTACAATACTGTACACAAATAACTCTTGATCTATTTACCACTCAAAAGTGAATTCTTGGGTGAATCACTCTCTACCTACCTACCTGTTGAAGATTCTGAGGATTAGTGTCCACACAGTCCGGTCTCTAACCAGGCTTTCTGGTTGCAGGCCTGGTCAACCAGACCGTTTGATGAGGCTGCTCGCAGCCTGACGTACGAGTCACATCCTGGTTGATCAGGTTTCCTTTATAGGTGCTTATTGAGTTCTTATCCCCTGCATGTGTTGGGAAAGGGTTGAAAAGAGCCTTTGATGTTGATAAAGTTCTCTCTCGGCATGCTTATTGCACCTCTGCTTTTTTGCACATCCTGCCATGCCTTCTGGTCTCATGTAGTGTTATTTCTGTGTGCATATTTGGAACCAGTCCTAATATTTTCTAAGTGTAAATTATTATGTATCCTGTCTGCACTCTAGGGAATACAGATTTATAATTTTAGGCAGTCCCAGTAATTTAGATGTTTTATTGAGTGGATTCTAGAGATAAAGAATCTTTGCATACTCTTCAGGTCAGCAATTTCTCCAGCTTCAGACCAGGGAGCCAGTCGGCCGAGCGGACAGCACACTGGACTTGTGATCCTGTGGTCCTGGGTTCGATCCCAGGCACAGGTGAGAAACAATGGGCTGAGTTTCTTTCACCCTATGCCCCTGTTACCTAGCAGTAAAATAGGTACCTGGGTGTTAGTCAGCTGTCATGGGTTGCTTCCTGGGGGTGGAGGCCTGGTCGAGGACCGGGCCGCGGGGACACTAAAAGCCCCGAAATCATTTCAAGATAACCTCAAGATAAGCTTTGAATGAGGCTGTTGGTGTGCAACAATATTCCACTCTTAGAGAATATTAATGTCTTAAAAAGTACAGTATCACCATTGGCAAGGCATATCTTGTTTGGAAGGTTCTTGTTATCCAACCTGTCATTTTTCTTGCAATTGTGACAGCAACTTTGTTGTGTTCTTTAATCAAGTCTTTCAATGGGCCACAGAAAATAACATGTTTAATGAGGATAGGTTCCGATTACTGCACTATAGAAAAAATGAAAACATTAAAGAAGAAACCACATATACAGTATAACACAATCAAACTACACTATTGAAAGAAAAACCAATGTAAATGATTTAGGAGTAATCATGTAGGAAGACCTTACTTTTAACATCGGATTGTTAATCCTATGTTAAGTGCAATGATGCAGCCCATCCTCCTGTTTTGGTTGTACAGTACTTAGTAATGGTGCAGTACAGTAACGATGAGGACCATAGTACATATACAGTAGATACTGCCGTACAACTAAATTAGAAAGTTGAAATTTGAACTACTGTATTGAGCTGGACAAACTGGAAAACTATTTTTTTACTTGTGTTGCTTTGACAAACTAACCTTACCTAACCTTCCTAGGCCTATTACACAATATCTGAGGCCTAATATAGTACAAATGTGTGCTATACTAGGCCTAGGAATATTTGTTTTTTTTTAGCTTCATTTATTTTAAAAGAATTCTTTACTAGTTAATATACTATCTAAAAGCTAAGTACGTACGAATTCGTGACCATTAACGATCATCACAATACCTACTATCTAAACAGGAGGATGGGTTAAATGATGAGTGCAAAATGCAAAAATTACATGTGATGAGTGCAAAAATAGAATGCAGTTCCTACAAAGACAATATTTATTTTACTCTGTGTTGTACAGCAGAGGTATTAAATAAAATTACTGTATTGTATATCCAATATGTCTCAAATATGTGTTCAATTATTTCCACTTACCCTTACAACAGTCAAGTTTGTTCTCGACTTTCAATAGGGAATTCCCGGTTTTGAGTCCCAGGTGGGAAGGAAATGGCTGGGCACATTTCCTTTCACCAAATACCTCTGTTCACCTAGCAGTAAATAGGTACCTGGGAGTTGGTCAACTATTATGGGGGGTTGTATCCTGGGGAAGGTGAGTAGTTCAATCTTGGGGAAACCTTAATATAAGTTTTATATATATATGAACAGGCTGCCTGTTCCTGACAGAACAAATTAACACAACAGAAACCCTGTAATAACCTCAAAAGGGGGCTCCACTTTACAATGTTTCAACCTCAAGGGTCCTTATGAGATGAAAATTACTAAGCAAAGTCTTCATCACTACACATTCTAAAAATAACAATCCATAAAATACACAGTAAAATCCTAAAAGCACATTTATTACATACCATTTATCATTGGCTTCACAATGGGAATCAAGGAAGATAAGCACATCGCCTGTAGCTGCTCGAGCGCCTGCCAGCCTGGCCCGAATAAGTCCATGTCGCTCCTTTAGCCGCACTAGCTTGACCAGGGATGGCAGGCGAAACTTCAAGTACAAGTCCAGTTTTTCACCAAGTTCAACTGTGATGGATGAAAGACTAAATCAGAATGCTGTACATTTTCTGAAGTCACTGAAGTCAGAACATGTTTTATTATTTATTTTATTTAATACTATAATACACAAAGAATCTTTGAGACCTAGATGCTGAACAAAATTTGAAGTCAAGTTTGTAATGATGTAGAATAGAAGAGTAAATTATGAAATACTGTATAAACTCAAAACCCATTCATAATGTGCCTTCTGCTTTGTATTTTGGGACAGGTACACTGCTCTTCTATTAGTTGTATAAAACTTTAACATTTCTATACAATTTAATTTAAACAGTAGGTGTTTTGTATGGGAACTAGAAAACTTCACAAATTTATACTGTTGATACATTTAGGCTTATGTTTTGTTATAATGTCATTCAGGTTTGTATGGGTCAATGGCCCCCTATTGAAAGTTAATATTTTAACCAGTACGTACTGCTATATCCATTATCCATTATAAAAAGGAAGGGAGTACCACCTCTGGCTGGCACATGTTATCCATTATTATATTTATTTAAGAGAAAAGTTATCATTTCAAACTACAATAAAGCAATGAAAGCTAAACAGTGAAAAAATATTTTCTTCAAAATCAGTAACATTCAAAAAATATTAAAACTACAGACAAGTACAATACAAGCATGTAACAAAGGAAGACTCTCACAGAGAATACGACCATAAACTACAAGAACTAAAACCCTTAGAACTAATGTGCATATAACAGATAAATTTAATTATATAAATACCATGTATTTATATCTATAAATAGAAATGTCTGTCCGAAGTTAGAGGCCAGACATTTACCTTACCGTAGGGCTAGCACTATCCAACTTTTCCTAGTAATTGCTATTGGGCACATGCTTAGCATGGGTAGACCGGGATTGGTGTCAAAGAAAACAGTGCCAAATGACACTGTGCCAATGTCACCTGCACGAGAATTTTGCAAAACTAGTACCACTTAACTAAACTCTGAATTATTACTACAATATTATATTTTTTAATATTGGATATGATATGCATTGATCATGCCAAAATAAAATTATATAATCATCATTACCCTTTAAACAAAAAATTGATTAGGTTTTTCTTTAAGCTTCATAGATTGTGTTGATGAATCGACTGTGTGAATTGTTCTTATAGATTAGTGATATTATAGGGAAGGGGAGGGGTAAGGGAGAAGAGGGAGAGGAGAGGTAAGAGGGGAGGATGGGGAGGGGGGAAGAGGAAGGGAGGAGGAGAGTGAAAAAAAAGAGACAAAAACAGACAGATCTATTCGATATAGCACCTACATTATTGGGACCACTTTAAATCCATCAAATTGTGTTGTTCCCTGTGACTCAGATGATACATAATACTCAATATCCTGAAAATATCAGCGAGAATTTGCAAAACAAATAATGGTAGAATGTATAATAAAGCTACAATGAAAAGTAGCGATGCAATAAGTACATTAAAATCACATTACCTTGCATCCATAAAGGGTCCAAGATTTTTAATACCCCTTTTAATTTTAATTTTTTAATATATATATATATATATATATATATATATATATATATATATATATATATATATATATATATATATATATATATATATATATATATATATATATATATATATATATATATATATATATATATATATATATATATATATATATATATATATATATATATATATATAAACAAATAATCTTGAATAACTAAGTAGTTTGATAAACACTTCGATAAAGTAGCACTCACAAGCTGGGCTGAAAAAAAATGCATTTGCTTCGGATAATAACGAACTGCGGGCATAAACAGCCTAACTAATCAGGCCTTATCTTGAGAAGGCCCTCTGGGAATACTTATCCCTTAGGACTATTAGTACAATCTTGCCATATGGGCTAAAACTGCCTAATTGGAAAGAGTATGATGAGGAAGTCTCATGAAGCAGTCCCTCACCATAATGCTTCCCTCTAGCCCGTCTCCAGGTGTAGGAGGAGGAACTGACCTCTGTCTGAGAAGTCGTCGACGAGGACAATCTCCTTGAGGAAGCGGGCAGGAGAGCGGGTAAGGACCGACCAGATGGTCCTTAGGAGAGGGCTCCATGCCTCGTTGGTGAAGATGATGATCACCGAGGCTGAGGGCAGGTCGTTGTCATACTTCACCGCCTGGCATCTGCCGACAATAACAAATCATAGGTCATTATGTCTTTTGGCTGAAGTTTGAAATTGAATTGAAATTGAAATCGAAATATGTTTATTGAGGTAAAATACACACAAAGGGATGAGGTAGCTCAAGTTATTCTCACCCCGTTCAGTACATCGTGTTAATACATACATATACAAACATTACAAACAATAAACATATTACCAAACATTCTGAGAGATAAACATCTACATTTCCTGCTGTAATTTGGAATATGGGTGCATTATGCTTTCTCTCATCGCTCTCGCTCAGTTCACTCTCTCTCTTAATTATTTTGTTACAAAACCTGTTGACGTATAATGTAATATTTACACTTGATATGCAAGTATATTTTTACACAGACATATTTGTATTATATATATTACATATATTATTGGATAAAATACATATCAAACCGTTTATTAAATATTATCCAAGCCTCAAGAGTTTAAATTAAAAAGCATTATTCACATATGGTTGTACATTTATACATAATCCTGAGTTTCTTAAAAAAATCTGAACAAGAGCCAGAACACACTTCCACACTATATTACTGACTGCCTTGTCATCAATGCTTTCAAACCGAACACATACCTGACTTTATGCATATTTTTCTTTCACATGGATATTGAAAGATGTGCTCAAACTCAGCCCAAAGTAGTTGGCTAGTGCAGGCTAGTACACTAGACTCACATCCTTTGCTTTTCTTCAATTCCATATATGACTAGCCATCCTGCGAGATTGGGATATTAGATGAACTCATAGCTAGCTCATGACGTATACTCTGTAATCCCTCTTATATATTTTTTATTCATTTACACAAGAGTTCTTACAGTCTTGTACAGCCACTAGCACGCATAGCGTTTCGGGCAAGTCCTTAATCCTAATTTTTCCCCGGAATACGACCCGCCAAATCGTTTAACAAACAGGTACCCATTTTACCGTTGGGTGAACAGAGGCTACAGTTAAGGATTGGCACCCAGTAAGTCCTCCCCGGCCAGGATACGAACGCAGGCCAAAGAACTCGCTAAACGCCACTACGTCACTGGGACTGCTTAATATAGAATAAGGTAGCAGCACACTGCTGTGTCCCTAGTTAACTTTGTTAATAACGCAAGGTATTTCATCTATAATTAGCCAGATATTCAATGCATAACAGGTAAAATTATCTTATCACAAGACAATAAATTTTATATGCGTAAATGGCAAGCTGATTTTTTTTTGGTTGTAAATAAAAAAGCCTGCATCAAAAACATACTGTCAACTGGTACATTTTTACTAAAGCTGTTTCGAAAGTTGATCTGAAAACTTTTCAAACAAAACTTCTGGCGCTTTTTATTCTCTTTGACAATGACAGAAAATGAGCAATTATTTACTCGTCCCCGAAACAGATTTGTTTGTTTTCCATAAAAAATTACTTACGGTATTTATATATATATACAGTATATATATTTTAGACAACTGTATATAGAATAAATTCTTCAATAATATGCGACATGTCTTCGTCCTGGGGACTGAAGCATTGCGCAATGGTGCAGCATACACTGTAATTAGGAATAATGCCTTACAACGCGGAAATGAAGGAAACCCCCTTATTGAGAACGATGCTTCTTCAACGCAATCAGCGATGTCGTGCTGTTAGGAGACGGGAGCCACTGCAGCATTTCTCAACTCGTCTTCAGTGGTGGTGGTGGTTTCCCAACACACGGCCCCGCCACGAGAGGCCCTCTGTCCCAATCAGCACTTTCAGCAACGGTAGTTATGCACAATACTTGTTTATTATGCATTAACCCTCGTCGGTGTCAATTATTTTTAATCTCTCATTCGGAGTTACCCTTTTTTGTATTATATAGTCTTATTATACTCTGTACTTTAGTCTTATTATACTCTGTACTTTCTCCCGGTGTGAATACTGCTCATGGATGCCTATTGTTCCATATTCTTTATTATTATTATTATAGAAACTTAATAATGTGGACGTATGTGTGTATTGAGTGATACTGCTACTTTCCATCTACCTGTGTGTGGGCTTAATCACCACCCACCAGTGGTATCTCAGCCGTATATGGTAAAGTTGTGATATAATTCATGATATCCACGTCAAGAAAGCCGGAAATGTGGCTTGGACGAATGTCACGCTACAGCTGCCCACGGTGTCTCCAGCCAAGAGCATTACGAAACTATGAAACCACCAGGATGATCACAGCTCCACACACACACTAAACGTGCATATATTGACGTAATGGACAATTAGGTAATAAAATGGACACTACCAAATTCTTCAGTCCGGAAAAATGACGTTACCCCTACTCCACCCGGGTAACGAAAATACAAGGAGCCAGATCGTGTACCTTAGGAAAAATGTTCGACTACTCCACCGGGGTAACGAAAATACATGGGGCCAGATCGTGTCCCTTAGGAAAAACAGTCCACTATTCCACCAGGGTAACGAAAAACAGGCGGGCCAAGTCGTGTCCCTCGAAAAAAGCAAAACGAACACGACTTGGCCCGGTTTCCACTACTACGCTACGCTTAGGACTAAAGTATACTTGTTATTGTGGTGTCCTAATCAACCCTTCAGAGGTTGATAAGCCTTAAGCCCAACACACAACCCCAAGACATCTGATATTTTAGATACCATCAACAAGTCATGTAAAGAAAGTGCTGGGAGAAAGTCTGTATATATGGTAAGAAGTGGGGTGAAAGGCGAGAAGGGTAAACTATACCACTTCCTTTGTGTTCAGATTTGTGGGTTGGGGTGTCTAAATTTCCAGGCGTATTATTGTGACACGTTCTGAATCTAATATTATTCTTCAGCACACACACAGAAATCACAATAGCATGATGCATCAAATGAACAAATCCACAAGGGCTTTGGATTTCGAATCCTCGTCACGGCCCTTGTGGATTTGTTTATTCTTCAGCTTTATATTTTCCTTGTTACATTTAGATTATAGAGTTCTGATTAGGTGTCCGTACTATAGAATGGGCATAAATTCAGTTGAACGCGTACAGAGATGACAAAGTTTATCCCTAAAAATTAGAACCTTTCTGTACGAAGTGAGATAAAAAAAAAACTTAATTTACCTTCTCTAGGAAATAATTGAGTGAGGGTAATTGAGTAGAAATAAATAATTTACATGACTGAAGTATATAAAAGGATGAAAGGGTATAACAAAGGAGATACAACTAAGGGTTTAAATTTACCAACACGAAACAAAACACAAAACAATGGATATAATAAACTGGAGAAGTTATGATTCAGGAAAGAGCCGCAGGTTAATTACTGAATCGGAAATATTGTTGCTGATTTATAGAACAAATGTCTGGGTAACATAAATGACGTAGGATAGCTTGATTGTTTTAAACGTAACTTAGACAATATATATATATATATATATATATATATATATATATATATATATATATATATATATATATATATATATATATATATATATATATATATATAATTGTGAGCTTGGGGTGGATATACTGGGTAAATAGAAGGTGCCTCGTATATATAGGCCTCCTGCGGTTCCTTAAGTTGTATTTTCTCACAATCAAGTTGATATTTGCGGAAAAGTTTGAGTGGCCAATGACAAGCTAATGCCTAAACAAAAATAAGATCATGTAGTGTTTGTAAATTATTTAGTGATACCCTTCAGACAAACGGACATAATTTATTTGTTAATTATTTAATGATGTGCAGATGTGGATATCAGGCCAGATAGTATATATATACCAGTATTCCGGGTTAGGCTAGGCAGCAAGGTGGCTGTGGCTACCAATGTTGTTGTTGTTATTGTTTAAGATTCGCTACTTGGAACAAAAAGTCCCAAGTAGCACGGGCTATGGTAAGCCCGTCTCCGGTGTTCGGGGGCTAGCTATATATATCCGTTAAAGCCAACTAGACATTTTACGGGAGGGAGGGGGGGGGGCTAATCATGGCCCAAATCACCTCATTCTTTGTGCCACCTCTTAGGTTGAAATTGAAATAAGTTTATTGAGGTAAAATATACACAAAGGGATGAGGTAGCTCAAGCTATTCTCACCCCGTTCAGTACATCGTGTTAATACACACAGACACACATCACAAGCAATAAACGTATTACCGAACATTCTGAGAGATAAACATATACATTTCCTCCTCTTAGGTGGCTTAATCTTCATCAATCAATCAGCTAGACCTTTCCAGGCCCGGGTAATCCGTCACCTCACAGCCCGAAAGTTAACCTCCAAACGTTCAACGTTACAAATTCAAACATTTTATTCATAAGTGTTTGAACATTCCTGGTGAGCACAGTGTATCCTTGCCCGAAACGCTGTGCGTAAGTGGCTTTAGGCATTGTATGTACTAGCTCTATCTATAACTCCAACATTATGTTTGTTAACTCAACTTGTATGTATGTACTTTACTTGAATAAACATTTGATTTGAATTGTGTCTGTAGTTATAATTGGGTTAGTCTACCCGAAAGTTGCCTCGAACGTTACGTTTTCTGTTTTAGATATGATGTAAAAATAACACTCCCTGCGGTATTGTTTTTGAATAAACATGTTTTGATAACGTAAGCGACTGTTCCACTTTCTCCTTCTGGAGCATTTTTAATCATGGCAGAATAACATATTTGTTCACACTTGTCTTGTTATTGATACTCTCTACCCGAGACTATTAATGCCCTACCTGTGACTATTGCTCTCTATCCTCTACACGATTTCCAATGCTAGTTTGCTGTTATAGATTCGGCTACTCGGAACAAGTTCCAAGTAGCACGGGCTATGGTGAGCCCGTAACTTACCTGGCACAGGAGCGGGGCAAGAAGCACAGGCTATGGTGAGCCCGTAGTGGATTTACCTGGCACAGAAGCGGTGCTGTCGCACTGTTACCACTAGTACTACTACTTTCACCTCACAGCTTCTATGACAATTACCACAAGAAGTCATCTTTAAAAGGTGGGGGCGGGTGAGAAAATGGAGGGTGGGGGAGGA